GATACCATGCTTTCACATAGGGTCTGCCCATTCTTACCTGTAACAGTCAGTAAACAAGCAAATCATCATTCATTTTTGTACAAGGCCTGCAACTGAACCATCAGCATCCACTGTTACAGGTAATAGGATAGACCCAACTTTCACATGTTTAAAACCAATATGTGATGACACCCACATGTATTTATATTCTACCGACCGTGTAGCTATAGAACATTATAGAACAATGTGCAGTACCCCTTGCGAACCACCGCGCACCACGCTGTGCCCCGACGCGACGCCGCAGACAGAACGACGGGACCAGGTGGAGGTCGAAGCATGAGACGCCGAAGGGACCACGGTTACCTGGCCAGCGTGACCTGGTGGGGGAGAAGTTGTAGTGCAGTGTGATTTCAGAGGCTGGATGTGATCTATATTTGATCTGTAGTTATTTGATCTGTATGCATCGAAAGGTATATGAACAGACATTGGAAGATTCACCCGCTAGCATATAGCAATAAAGATCAACAAAGATATACAGCATGCTTAGGAGAGCCATTCTATTTATCAACCATCGGCATTCAGCGAGGCCAAGTGGTGTGTTTGTTGAATGTATATAAACATATATATATATATCATTAAGTTCATGAATATTTCATGGAAGGATTGAGGAAGAAAAGCGAACCACCACCTCTTTTGTTGTTTGGAGATGTTTGGACGCCACCACTTTTTTACACAAATAACCGTGATGTGAACGGACTGCAAAAGGCCCTCTTTGTAAAGATGAAAGCTGCATGGAATTTCATGGCGGATTCACCCGGAGAAGACCAAACCCAGAGCGGAAGAGCGGATTCGCAGCGGAAGGGTTCACTGAAGTGAGCCCGGTTGGGTTTCCTGGCTCGGGGAGCCGGTGATTGGAAGGATGACAGCGGTGGTTCCGGGCTTGAGCTCATTCCATCCGGAAGGCCAGATGGAGCAGGGCCAAAAGCACTTGGAGCTGTTGCCATGGTGAATGGATTTTCAGGTTTTCAATCATCTTGGCCGTGACTCGGGTTCCAGGTTGCCTGCCTTTTTTTTTGGGAGGAGCTAGGGGAAAACATCTCCATGACGGTTTGGGTGGGAGACCGAACATATCCAGAACCATCGTGACCCGAACATCTCCGAACATTTTGCGCATTTGGCTTTCCAGGTGCATGTCCCGTCTACCTTGAGGTGGTTCGTTTCGGAGTCCATGTTGGTACTCAGGCCCTCCGTGTTCCAGGGGCGGTGAGACAATCCCAGCCGGGGCAGGGGGCTAACAGTCGTTCGACTTCATGAAGTCTTTAGGAACTTCGCGTGTTGGGCAATCAGGAGAATATACCCAGCCACTCCAAGTATGCCATAATACATTGATCCCCAAAACCACCCCAATGTAGGCATATATGGCATACATAGAGTGTCTGGGATGGCAAATTTCAATAAAAGGTACATTGGACGCATTGTTGTATATGGTTGTATTTCCCAAACGTATAAAAACAGAGCCCAAGTGACCTGTTGTTAGGACATGATCATCTTTTGGGTGGGACAGGGTGACAGGTGATCCTAAATAGTTCTTTGGAGTCCCGAGACTTGCCGACCTCGAGGCGACGCCCAATCTGTACAGAGTCGATGCCCTTGCGTCGGCTTGGCGTCATCGATGGTGCGCGGCGCATGGATGCCCCGGCGCACGGATGCTTGTGGCCTGTGAGCTCTGTGCTTTGGACATGATTTGGGGCGTTGGTTTTCGTTTTTGGATTTGCTGCGATGTGGAGATAACCCAGTGAATCAGGGTGAAACCAGCCCAAAGTATGATTTGTTTCCTTATACGTTGATGGAGTTTCAATATTTATTTGGTTGAGTTGATGCTGGTGAATGTGTATCGTTTCACCAGAACAGTTCTGTTATAATACCCATACACTCCATGGGACTGCCATATATGCCGCCCTGTTGCCCCCCCTGGCAGCACCCCTGGCCTGATCGGCAGTCCGTCCTGGCAGTCCCATGGAGTGTCTGGCCCTAGGGATCCCAGTATCTTCTCAGAAGGTACTTGGACCCTCCTGGCACCTACATAACAGTGTCTCCATCCTCACCTAACCCGAGAAGGTACTTGGATCCCTAGGGTGGGATACGGACTTCCACTGAGTGTTGGAACAGGTTTTTGTCGTACCACGGCGCGGCACAAGCCGGATCGACGGCGTTGCCATCATGTCGTCCGGTCCGAAGTTGACGCACCGCTCGGCCGGGTTAGAACCGGCGCCGGGGGGTTCCAAGGATCATGGGTTCCGATATGCGGAGAGAGACCAAACAATGTATAACTTAATCAATATATATAAATTTCTATCATATATATATATACAGTATATATATATATGCTAGGAACCCATAATTCGGGTTGTGGTGATGTGGTGATACATGTTGTCCCAGTCTGCAGGTCATTGGACCTGAATTTGGGAGTGTCGGACAATGTCTAACAGCTGAGGTAGAGGGTCAAGGGGGTTAAGTCTTGTCTTGCTGGGCCTGGAGGACTTTAGGGTATGTGTATACCGTATTCCTATAGATCCTATAGTGGTGCTCTCTCAAGTCTTAAAGCATGAGATTGGTGCAGCACCATATGGGTTTCCACTACAATGGGAAAGCCTCCAACCCATGGTTTTAAGTTCTTGCTTGACATGTTGTTTGTTTTGTGTTGTTGATTGGTCCTTTTCCCAGACTTCTTCCCCCCCAATGTGATGCACACCCATCTACCTTTTGAATCGGGACCGTTTGTCCGCTCTTCGTTCCGGGCTCAGGTCGCTGGGAAGACCTTTTGCACGCCAGGGTAGCCACCGTCCGTGGTTTTCCATGTTTAGTTATATACATGCGCATGTATATATAGATACCCTAAGGATCCAAGTACCCTCTGAGAAGGTGTTTGGGGTGAGTTTGGAGGGTCCAAGTACCTTTTGAGGACGTACTTGGATCCCTAGGGATATATTGTTTCCAAAACATATACCTTGTATTATCGTTATATAACATTAGTGTGAGTGTGTACATATACATATATATATATATATATGTATACGTTTTACGGGGATGGGTCATAGCTTGACCTTACAGGTAGGTCAACCGTTTTGACCGGCAACTGGACTTGTCCCAGTCAACCAGAAACACATGTTTTTTTTCACAAAACATGCCAGGGTCATCCTGTTTGGGTGTCCTGGCGTTCGACTACCCTACCTTACGTAAACAGGCCGCACAGGACACCCATTTTCAAACCTGCGCCCGGTGATCAATGATCACGGCTTTTCAGTCGGCCGGCTGAGAAGGTCTCCATCATCGGGTCCATGGGACATACCGAGACGATCCCCGAACAAGCTTCGCTCGACAGGGCTCGCCATGCTGGCAAGCCCGTAAAACGGGACAAGCCCCTACTATGTATAGACCACCTTTTTGGAATTGAGCCAAGAGCCTTAAAAAGGGGGTCCAGTCAGACCTGTATACCCAGAGAATGTTAAACACAAAAGCAGATAGAATTGTTGACGGAAGCCGCCACTCGATGGCAACATTGCTTTTTGTCACCGCGTTCTGTGTTTCTGCGAGGATTCTGCATGGCATGTTCATGAGGGCAGGTGTCTTGTGTTCATGAGTTATACGAGTTGAACGCTGCCGAACGACGATTTGAGGATGGTGTTTGAGGGTCAACTGTACCAGCACCTTTCTCTTTGGATACCTACACCTGACCCCTTCTCAACCTTCCCACCTGATCACGAGTCATCTTACAGTCCCTACCTGGCAGGGGTGTGGTGGAAAGATCGCAGCCCGTCCGGTCGCAGTTTGGTTGACCCTCCCGAATCGACGATGCATCTCAGCATGGTAGGAGGAGAAGTGTTGAAACACTCTTCCCTGTCCCTGTCAGGGTCCTGCAGCATTTTGAACGGTCTTACAGGCATACGTTGTGTTTGCATAGGTCTTTGGTCTCCTTGTCTATCGGAATGTTGGCTCATCCACGGCCACAACGAAGGTTTTTTGGCCGGACCATCCATGGGATATTTACATCCATTGGGATGGTTGACCTGGGGTGAATGTAAGCATATATTCAGCATATATATATATATATTATGTAATTACATGAAGTGCTTTGGAACTAACGCCAAGTTTGAAGCACAAAGCACCGATCTCCAAAAACTGCGATATGCGCTACCATGCGCTACCCTGGCTGGCTGTAAAGCTGTAAAGACGGCAATGTCAGCATTGCAATCGTTTTGCACAGCTTCCTCACTGCAAGGGCATTTCTCGGCAGTTTTATGTTGTTTTCCCAAGCATACGGGATTTTCTCCTATTCAGGACTCCTCTTTCGGGGAATTCATAGAGGGGTGTTGTTTCATTGTCCCTTGAGCGATTCTATATTTGTCCAGGTCCCTTGAGCTGACTAAGATGGAACTTGATACCCGCAACTTGCATCAAAACCCTGGTGAGAGCTCCAAACCCACCTAAAATCCAGCTGATCAGTGATGGAGGGAGGCTGTCCATCAGTTGATGTGAGGTTTTCTTGCTTGTTAAGGCCTGAACAGTGTCGTTGCAAGACCTTAGTTAGCTTGTGGCTGATGAAGCTTGCAACTACCCCCACTATGACATCGCAGTGGAGGTCCGTCTCCCAGCGGTGGAAGAGTTGCTAGCAGTACAAAGGAACATGAAGTATATATATATATGGTATATGTAACTCATCCAGTCGCAATGTCTAGTGGGATCAGTTGGATTATCTCCTAATCCATCTCGGGGATTGCGGAGGTAGTCCGCTGGGCGTATTGGATACTCTATCTTGTGCCACTTTGTTGGTTTGGTCGTTCTAGATGGTACCCCCGTTCATTGTGATGGTGTTGAGCAGGACGCTTTGGATGTGCATGCAGGTTTTTGCTTGACCAGATGGAAATCCCTGTCGGCCAGAAGCTGGCTCTGCATGGCTCTGAAATGGGTGGTTCCAACGAACTTACTCCAATCTTGTTTGCGCAGCAACGGGTGCCTACCTGACTTTTTTCTCGTTGCATGTATCCCAGATATGAATTCAGCCGTTAAACACCGTAGTCAATCAAGATACTGTAATGGCCCCCCAGCTTGCCAGAGCAGCATTTGGACGCTACACCAAAGATGGCGCGACACAGAAAATGACTTCGAGCAGGGGTGCCTACCTTGTTCTATTTGCAATCGCAAAGCCCCGCAGTTGTCACATTTCTTGTTCTCAACAATGCCAGCAGCATGTCAGCTCTGTTCATTTGATTTCTACTGCTTGGACGGCCCTGCAGCATGCTCAGCAGCACTTGGGCACTCCTTCAAATGTCCAGAATCCTGAGCAGCCCTTGCGCTCCCCGCGTTCTTTTTTTGGGATGGGAAAGAAAGGGCTTCGGGATGGGAAGAAGGGGAGGCAGCGGGGTGGAAGTGGAATGCGCCATCTACAGAATCTGCAAACTTGTTGTCAAGGTGCAACCTTAGACCTCGTGGTTTTAAATTCAGCTTACCAGGGGCCGGCGCGAAGCGAACCTTGGTCAGCGACTCATTCTGCTCCCAAACAAATGTAGCTTTCTTCTTGCAAATCTTTTGCTGTGGTTAGCAAGGACACTTTCTTTCAAGCTTGAGGCCTTCTCGTGGAACACATTCTTCCTGTCATAAGAAAGGGCCTTTCACTGCCTGAGGTTTCTTGAAAGAAGCGTCCGCTTCTTGTGCCTTTGGCACCGCCTTCTTTTCGTGGCCATGGGCCATGGCCACAAACTGACAACTGCCACTGTTCATCCTCGGGCACCGCTGCTGCAGCTGCCTTCATAGTGCCACTGCGCAGCTTGGACAACTCTTCCGTGCTTGACCGGCACCACAAGTGCAACGACGGCTTGCTCACCAGGGCTACAGAAGGGTCCTCACGAGGTCTGCTGCTCCCACAGCCATGCTATTGTGCTGCTTCCAGGGCCTTAGCGCGAGGATCCTTAGATGGCGCAACTCCCCATTGCTTTGCTTGCAATATCATGTAGCCATGCACCCTTCTGCATCATCTAAAAACATACCACAGCAGTCTACAGCAAACCTTTCCCCGCAGATTTGGCGTGTGCGCAGTCATGATGCAGCACACCCCATCTCCTGGGACAGCTGCTTGACCTTGCCTGCTAGCAGCTTTGGCCATTGCTTCAGCGCAGCTTCCAAAACCATGGTGCGGACCGAGCAAAATTTGCCTTGCTATTTTCAGTGCAGTACGGCATCAGTATTGGTGAGGTGAAGCCTAGGGATTGACAGTGCACCATTGATTTGTGGTGTTGGGATTTGCTGCATTGAAACTTTTGCATTGATTGGCATCGCGCCATCTGTGGTTGTGAGATTTGGCCTGGAAACTTTGTTTCGGTTCGGAGATGAGGCCACAGTGTTTATGAATTTGGAATGTATATGGCGCAACTGTGTGTTGCCCCCAAGAGTTTGGTGAAACAAAGCATAAGAAACGATAATTCTACCCCGCTGCAGTTTTTTGGGGGAGGATTCTTTTTTGTACCAGGAGTGCTCCTTCAAAGGGCATTTCTAGAAGCTGGGTTCTGACTCTAGATCCCAAAGTCAGTGGTTCCTTTTTCAATGGCAGGGCCGAGGGGCTGTGCAACTTGAGATGCAATTCCCGGAAGCCGATGGACTGTCCGCAGAGTCGAAATCGTCACAGACTCTCCTTTTCTCTTGCCGATGCGCTTCATCCTACACACATCCTGCAGCAGAGGCAGACAATGCTCCCCGTGACATTTGCAGGAAGCCACGCGTGGGGTTGCCCGCATGTTCCTCATAACCCAATGCTGCTTTCTGCTCTGGCCGGCAGCTTGAACTTCCTGAACTACACGTCGACGCAAAGCTTGATTGCCAGCAGCGACCTTACAAAGCTAGCTGCAACACCGGGTGCTACCCAGGCAATCTGCAACAGTGAGCCCGAAGGCTGCCCTGGCGCAGTAAAGGCTGCAGGTGGAGATGACGTGGTAGTCATAACAAGTCATTCAGGTGAGGGGAGGTTCTCATCGTTCGCTCGCGTGTGCGTGGACACCACATGTATACCGTAGCTGCGTAGTTCGGCACTTGGGTGCGAGGATTGTGGATTGACACGGTTTAGGTCCGATGATGGTATGGTATGGTTTGCGGATTCGGTTTTTGGGAGCTGTGACTTAAAAGCAACCAGAAGTCATGGCTTGGGCCATAATCCGCGGAGGGGGGTGGAACAGTTCGGAACGGCATTCGTTGGCCCTCCTCGAATCCTTCGGGGAAGGTGTCGTGCTCATAACTATATGTCCTATGTGCATCCTATAAATGGTCGTTTATTGAAGAAGGGCCCACCCGAGGAGCTTAGTTCAATTCGGGGCTGCGACGTGGTATGAAGATTTTGTCCGGAGTAAGCCTGCCATTCTGCGCGAAATTCTTCCAATCACCTTCACTTGGGCTTCGAATGAACCAGCAATGCTTATGGGGTTTGTTAATTGGTAATTGCCTCTCTAGGTTGCTTCTTGTTCTTTCATTCGACGCGCGTCATCTGCCAGCTCCCGGCCACGAGCCGACAGAGGCAGCTTGATTGCGCGATATTTTAGGCCCCTTGCAGATGCAGGAAGGCTCTGTGTGCGAATGGCTGTCACCCCGAAAACCACCTCGGCGCGTTGCCGCGGACTGCGTCTCGGCGTGAACTCGCCGCGCCGCTCTGCTGCGTTTCGGAAAGCACCAAGGGCGTTACGTTCGCGGGTGATGCAATTCGGATGTCTAGATATCTCCAAGGGCCTCCCAGAACTGTGCCAAACGCACGTAATTAACTATTATGAACTCAAAAAACCACAGCTGCTGGATTGTTGTTACATCGGCCTCAACCC